CCTCCCGGGATCTTGGGCACGTACGCACACGCGCCCGGCGTGAGTTTTAAGCCACCGGGTCCGGGACACGAACCGCGGTCGACTACGTGGGAGTCCAGCAACATAGCCATTAAGCTAACTGCTGGTTCCCTCTCCTGGGATTTTGAGCACACATGCACATGCACCCATTGTGATTTTCAAGGCACCAGGTCTGGGACTTGAACCATAGTTAGACATGTGGGAGTCCAGCACCCTAACTCCCACACCACCTCCTGGCCAGCATCCTTTCAAAGCCAACATCAACATCCGTCATCTTCCCAGGAAGGTGTCTTGTCTCACATGTACCTTCTGCTAAGCCTCCTCAGTGCTCACCTGTCCCTCCCTGACAACATGCATTAGACGGTTATGTAATAAGCAGTTGGCTTGTCTGACATTGAGGGGCGGGGCTTCATCTTTCATCCTGGAACATACCAAGATGCCAGGCCCCTAGAGACTCAGTGAGTATTTCTTGAATGAATGAATGAATGAATAAAAGAATTAAAAAATACATTTAGCTTGCATCTTTGAAAACACTCCATACTAAAGCAGGACATACCCTGTGCTCAGTAAGAGCAGATGGCTGGATGGACATCTACTGGTCTGACCACACCTGAGCCACAGTGTCGGAGACTCTGTTTCCCCTCAACGTACAGCTGGCTTCTGAAATCACCCCAGAACTCTTCCCAGTACTACAGAGCCCCCGGCAGCAGCCTAGAGGCTTTGCTTCCTCCCTACCAGACATCTGTAGGTCTAGGACACTCCGGAGCCCTGGTGCAATCTCTGCTGTGACATCAGGACCCTTTCCAGATCTCTCCAAATCAATACCTCACCTGGAGAATGTCCTACATTGTCATGGCTTGGGACGGAGTGTGGGGGGAAGAATGGAATAATTTATTCCAGTCGGATGCTTTCTTTTCTTTCTAATAAACCCCAATTTCCCAAATTATAATTAAAAGGAAAATATTAGAGCACAAATAGCATTATAATATTGAATTGCTGCATTTGGTGGACTTTCCTCCCTAAACCCACATCAATAGGCAATTTAACAATAGGCGAAATCTCAATGGGAGTTCAACAGATGAAATTAACACAGCACACAGCTCCAGACGGAAATATTTCTTTGCCCATGTAATTGCTCGAGCCGCCCTTGTGTGAAAGCCCCCATCAGATTACAGGATTTGTTGTGTGTAAATTGGAGACTAAATGGTTGGTAGCACCTTTCAGCTCTGCAATGCTGGAAATGAGTTTTTTAATAGGAAATTAGATTAGTAATATTTTAGTCAACAAAAATGTGGAAAAATTCTGCATAAAGATGAGAAAATTGTTCATGCAAAGAGACTTTTAGAATCAAGAGTGAACGATGGTTGAAATTTGTGAATGGTAATTCACCAAAGAATTTCTCTACACTTCTGGCCCTAGCCCATGGCAGGAAAAAATGATTTTCTTCCTAGCTTTGCTACGAGGTTCTGCCAGACTGGTGTTCTGGAGGACGGCAGGAGAGCCCTTCCTGCACAGCTCCCTACGGTTTGTGCACAAGCCGGACGCTTACATTCACAGCCGGGAGGTGATGGCTGTGCCTCCGCACCCCAATGCCCAGGTGCAGCAGGGGTGCTTCCTGAGAAGGCTGGAGGTGGGGGACAGGGCTGGGGAGGGCAGGAATCAGGGCAGAATCTGTGCCCCCACTTCCTTGCTCCAGCTGATAGGTTAGGCCTGGATGTAGGAACTAAAGCTAGGCAGGCCTCCCTGCTGCTCCAGGCCAGAGACAGGGAACGCCATTCCTGGGTCTCAGGCTTCCTCTTTCACCCAGGACACGTGGGCCTGGCAATTCCATCACAGCACACAGTCCAGTGAGGACGAGAGAACCAGAGCAGAGAGAGCAGTCCTCAGGGGCTGGTCACACAGGCTAAGGAGGAGGACCACGGAGCACATCCAGAATGATCCCTTACGCAGGGAGCTACTTAGTGGTGTGTGAACCTTTAGGGGATCTCTTTTTATGAAAAGAATAGAAAAGTATAAATAGCCCTCTGGTCACAAGGTCTCAGGAGGGAGGGACTTAGGTTTCTTGAGCTGCCTTGCGGGTCTGCCGTGGCCACAGCACGTCCTGCAGAAGGAGGGGCGTGTCTGTGAGGCTGCCACCATGGCAGGGGGGCCAGACCCAGGGATGGACCAGCTTCTCCACCAAAGTCCGGAGGCCTGGAGGGAGCAGAGCGAGCACTGGTGCCGAGTCTGTTCCCCAGCAGGAAAGCTGGAGTGCAGGCAAAGGGCGCTGGGGCCTCCCACTTCCATTGAGCTCGGTAAACATTCGTCTGCCCTGAGTCCAAGGCTGAAATGATGAGGGAGGGCCGGGTGGAGTGGCAGACAGGACCAAAGGGTTGGCCAGCAGAGCCCTGGTGGTGCCAGCCACTTTGCAGAGCTGCCTCTCAGCTGTCCCCACTCCCTGTCGGGTTCTGTCCTCGTTGAGAACACTGACTCCATGAAGAGCCACAGAGCCTAGGCTCGAATCCTAGCTCCGGCATCCACTAGCTGTGTGACCTTGGACAAGTAATAAACCTCTCTGTGCTGGATTTTCGTTTCTGTTTACAGGTTATTGTATTGAATAGAGAAACAGGCACCCTCATCGGGGTCTCATCACGCCATGACCCCTTGCTCTGGCCCCCAGCCGGCCAGGATCGTGGGCACAAGCGAGCCTGCCAGGTGTGCTCCAGGTCGCCCAGGAGCCAGACTGGGACCTTTCATACGGTTCGGACACAGCAGAGCCTCACCTGCCACCGGAGTCACCACGACGGGCCAGTGCTCAGTTTCCCACTTGTCACACGGTACTGCAGTAACATCTGCCTCAGAGGGTCGTGGTGCATTCACTGCAGAAAGCGCTTAGAACAGAGTAAGAATAAATAGCGTCGCTGCTCCTTATCTGTGGCTTTGCTGCCCATGGCTTTTAGCTGCCCACATTAACTGCAGCAGGAAGGAGGGCAGGCACCATACCCTGTTATTTTGAGAAAGAACCAAGGTTATGTAGCTCTCCCCACAGTGTATCGTCACAGAGTTCTAGTTTATAAAGAACTGTTGCTGTTCACGTCTTTTATTATTTATTAATTAATTAATTTATTTGTTGAAAGGGGTTTTTGCTATAGGACATGTGCACTTGCCAGAGAGACAGAGAGATAGTAAGCAAGAAATCACCCCTAGGGTGGGTGATTTCCCCACAATCCCTTCTCCTCCATTCTCCTCTCAGGACCCTGGACACACACACACATGTGCCCAATGTGTGTTTTAAGTTGTCACGTCCAGGACTTGAACCAAGGTTGACTACGTGGGAGTCCAACAACACAAGCATTATGCCATCTGCGGGTCCCAGTTCATTTCTTACTGTGTCTAATTTATAAACTCAACCAAACCACAGGTATATATGAATAAGAAAAAACATGGGACACGTGGGGTGCAGTGCCATTTTGAAGTTTAGGCATGTACTGGGGGTCTTGGACTGTGTCCTCCGTGGGCAAAGGAGTGTTCTGCACAAGCTGCTGTTCTCACCTACTCCTCTGAACGCTGATGGTGCAGACCGGTGGACAGCGGATGAAGCCTGCCTTCGGATCACCTGGCAACACTCCCCTAAGTGAACTTTTTACTCAGATAGTGTACATGTGGAAAAGCACACACATTGTAACTCTGCCGCTTAATACACTTTCACAGAAGTAACTGTCATCCGGACCAAAAATAGACACAGTGCGGATTCTCGGGGCTCTTTCTGGAATGTCCGATAATGGAGAAAGTCTTAGACTTCCCAGGAGGCAGGGCTGATGGGAGGCAGCCCGGGAAGGTCTCTTGCCCAACCTGAACATTTCTTCCTTTCTAAACTGGCCAGGCAGGAGCGTGTTGGTGGTGGAATTGGACCCACGTAGGCGAGGTCCTGGGTTCATGGCCCAAAACGTCCCTGAACACGGGCGGAGCATGTACACGCGTATGTTCCCGGGGCAGGGGATGACCACAACATGAAGACCCTATTGAGGGTGCCCCACCCAGTCTCTCTCTTACTCCTAGAAGAAACAAATAACTGCATAAAGAAATTAAAAATATACTGCATTTAGGAAAAAGTGATCTCAGGGGGTGCTGAGGGGGTTGTTCTCCCACACTCAGTGCCAGCTTGATGATGGACAAGCACAGGGGGTGCTGGGAACCAGCTGCCCGGTTCTGCTTGTGTGCAGGGCAGGCCTTACCCTCTCTTAGAGTCTTGCTCTGCAGTACGAAGCTCAGGTAAGCCTTGGGGGCCCAAGAGGAGAGGAATTGCAGCCACCAGGGCCTAATGATAACCCGTGCTCAGTAACGCCACTCCCACCCCACTGCACCCCGTCCCTCTGACGGCAAGCACTGTCCATCCCACCCTCTTCCTTGAAACTCCTGTTTCCTCCAGGTCCCCCAAGACTTCCTCAGCATCTCCCCTCTCTGAGATTCCTCTCACCTAAAACCTACACCACTTGCGTCCTCTCGTCTCTACTCTGGAGTCTGACCAGTTTAGCGCTGTAATGGACTTGGCTTTTGTCTTTCTTTCAGCTTGCCAAAGGGACCGTACACTCACCCAAGGAAGACACGCAGAGAGAAACGGTAAGTGAGAACACACCCGCTGGTAGGCATGGCCATTCTGCAATCTCATCTCCTTCACCTCTCCCTCCTCTCAAGATTTTGGGCACACACACAAACGCACCCGGTGTGCTTCTCAAGCTGTTGGGTCCGGGTTAGGACTACAACTGTGCAACTGGCCAAATGGCATCCAGTCTCCTTAGCAGCATGCCACAAGCTGGCGCTGGCTTTCCTCGTTAGCTAACTGTCCCCTGAGTCCTTCAGGACAGGAAGGAAGTCGCTTCCTGAACAACTGGCTGTGTGAAGGTAGGAGCTATGCTCCAGACAGCTTTTTACAAAAAACATTTGGCACCATGTCCATCCCATAATACCCGTTCAACACTGGCTGAATTGATTTAAACTAACTCTCAGCCCTCGATCAGAATGAAATTGATTTGATCACGTGGTCTGATGGCACTGCTGGTAGGCAGGGAGTTACAGGTTTGACATGCTGACAGCTTTGCAGAGTCTGGACTGGCTTCCAATTAATTGATGCACCCAGAATATTTCAGAGAAGCCACCATGAGGAGAGCCATGGGGGGAGACAAAGAAACAGCAAGTACGATCTTCCACCCAGGAAGCCGACGGGTCACGGAGGCCAGCAATGCGTGAGCACATAAACGCATCACCAGTGAGAAGCCAAGTGGGAGACGTGCTCGGTGGGCAGAGGGCATCACCAGAGCTGTGTGGAGAGGTGTCCCAGGCTGGAGCAGCCAGCGAGGGGCTGACAGGAAGGAGATGGAAAGTGGTTGGACTTCGAGGGCCGAGTAGGACACCGGTAAGCACCGTAGCAGGTGGGGAGGGGAAGGGAGACTTGCCAGCCCAAAGTAATAGCATGGACCCAAGAATCAGAGGGACTGCAGGGTGCGGCTGGAAAGGAGGGGGAGTCTGGGGATGGGGCACGGTGGGAAGAGGCTGGGGAAGGTACATCTGGTCACAGAGGGCCTCAGAGGGCCACAGAGCCACGCCAGGGCAGGTGGACATAGTGTCGTAGACCATGACCCTCTGGGGATGGTGACAGCTCTGAGGAAGGGGGGTTCTGTGTCAGCGTGCACCCTTACTGCACTCCCCAAGTACAGCTGGCATTGAATGGTCAAGAAAGTCACCTCTGGCCACCGAGCGGGCTGATCGTGACGTCCAGGGACTGCTCTGTGTTGCTTGGTCCTCAAAGTCCATCGGCGCAAGGACACGCCACTCTCAGTGGGCCTCGCCTTCCACATGCCAGCCTGTCTTTCATGGCCTCAGCCTCTCTCATTGCAAAAGCAACCAAACAAACACAAAGGCGAGAAAGAGTCGTCTGAGAATTCTTGCAACATCTGTGCAAGCTGGGTAATGGAAAAAGTATTCTCCTACCTGGGACCACATCTTCACTGAGCTGCAGAACAGGAAAATGAAAGAACGAATAGACTTAATGGTTTTTTTAGTGTGTCTCCCCAGATAGTACCCAACTGTTCCCCACAGTATAGAATTAAATTACTTGAAAATACAACGACTTCCCAAGAAACCAGATAATCTTAATAATTTAAGGAACTTATGGAGAATAATAAGCTTTAAAAACAAATTATAATTTTTAAGTTATTTATGCAACTACCACAGAAACGCACTGAAAAATTCCCTCGGAAGCATAACAAAGCTGAAAAGGAGTCCCTGTAAATACTCTGAAAGCATGCTACGAGGCCCCTGGAGGCAGTGGCATTCTCATCCACTGCAGGCCTGGCAAGGTGAACAGGCTGTCTTAGGAACAAAGTGGTGCTCACTGCTCGTAGAGAGTCATAGTCATAATTCTGGAAAGGCTGTCCAGTGGGGTCCCAGCCTGGATGAGGAGGTTCTGAGAGTCGTATGAAGGCCAAAGCGTCCAAAACCTTAAGTTGGAGGGAGGAGGGCCAGGAGAGAGGGACTATGGGTGAGGCAGGGACAAAATGTCTGGGGCCTGGTTTTCTGAACCTGTTTGTGAATGTCTTTCTAAGCCCATGGACAAGGGACTCCCAGGAAAAACCTAAGAGATGCTTTCACAGAGGAATCAATCAACACTTCAGGGGCAATTGCTCTGTTCTGAGTCTGGAACAAAGCCATTATATTATCAGTTAGTCCTCTCACCCCTGTAAGGTGTGTGACTTGGAGGGGTTAAGTAACACATCCAAGAACACCCAGTAAGTGCCAAAGCTGGGATTCAAACCCAGGTCAGCTGATTCTAGGGCCCATGCTCTTAATCATTGCAGTACATTATACCTCAGACAAGATGAGAACAATGATGCCCAGAACAGGGAAGGACGGGAGGGCAACAGTGAGCCCCAGGGAGGATGGTGGCTCCAGGGTGCCAGCGTCTTGGCGCAGGCATGGCGAGTTCTCAGAGGACACGAGCAGCAGAGGCAGGGGCTTCATGGGCTGCAAACAGGAGCAGAGCAGGCCTGAGTGGTCCTGGAGACGTTAGGCACTGAGTCTCCAACCTGCAGACAGCATGGAGAGACTGTGTAGGCAGGATCCAGAGGAGAGAGATGAGAAGAGGACCTGGGACAGATCTCAAAGGATCACCAATATCCCAGAGGTGAACAAGGGGAGCAATCTCAAACCCGGAACCAGGAAGGAAGGATTCGCTATTCCATCAAGTCGACTTTATTAAAACCTGTTGCTTTTCATTTGGGATAACTCCCACATACCCAGAAGTCAAATCAAAAGCTGAGGAATGTTTAACTCTGAGCTTCTCCACCTCAGTCTCACACCAGCATCTTTTCCCATCATGTGTTTTCCTTCCCTTTTATTGTTTACCAAGGCACCACACACTGGCACACACACGCACAAGAAAGTCAGAAAGATACTACACTCAAATACTACCACCAGTAATAATTCTTTTAAGTAAAGTTTTGTGCAAATAACTCATTCAACTTTAAGTGCCTACTGTGAGTAAGAAGCCAGGCGGAGCCAGATTGATTTCATAGTCAATTAATTTCACAAAGTTACCCCATCAGAAGTGATGAATGGACTTCCCCCAGGTGCCATCTGGGGACCGCAGAATGTGGTGCAGGCCTGGAAGCATTCGGAGTGCTGCAGCCAAACTGCATGGTCAAAGAACAGCGGTGCATGGGTGACCTAGGAAGGACTTACTTGGAGTAGAAGTAAAACCAAAGCCTAAGGCACATGTCTGGGATGAGACAAAGGCTTGGGGTTCCCTGGGTGAGAAGATCTGCGCAGAGTGTCTAGGTGTGAGGGTCCTTCCTCCCAGCTAGCCCGGGGGAAGCACAGAGCGTGCACTAACAGAGCATCCGAGGGTGCCAACTACTCTTTACAGCAATGGCTCAGTGTCTCACCTGAATTTAAAAGGATCCGAGTCCTGTGGCATGAGGGGGATCACTCTGTAAGAAATTGCAGTACTCTTTGGGGAGCCTTACCGTCACACTCACCGAAGTGGGATTAAACCTGTGTCCCTAAGAGTCCTGGTGCCGGTGTGCTTTTCTTCCCAGCTGATGATTCCACTGTGGTAGGAAGACTGTGTATCTTAGCAAAGAAAAGTCTATGAAGAAAATGGGCTCAGCCAAGGTACACAATGATCAAGCCAACATATAGGCAGACAGCATCCGAAAGGAGAGAAGTGCTGGGACCAGCAGTTAGCGTAATGGCTATGTCGCTGGACTCCCACGTAGTCGACCGCGGTTCGAGTTCCAGACCTGGTGGCTAAAACTCACGCCGGGCGCGTGTGCGTGCGTGCCCAAGATCCCGAGAGGAGAATGGAGGAGAAGGGATTGCAGCGTGGCCATCCCCTCTGGGGGGTGATTTCTCACTTTCCGTCTCTCTGTCTCTTTCTGTTTGTCTGGTGAGCACATGCATCCTATTAAGGCACATGTCTGGGATGAGACAAAGGCTTGGGGTTCCCTGGGTGAGAAGATCTGCGCAGAGTGTCTAGGTGTGAGGGTCCTTCCTCCCAGCTAGCCCGGGGGAAGCACAGAGCGTGCACTAACAGAGCATCCGAGGGTGCCAACTACTCTTTACAGCAATGGCTCAGTGTCTCACCTGAATTTAAAAGGATCCGAGTCCTGTGGCATGAGGGGGATCACTCTGTAAGAAATTGCAGTACTCTTTGGGGAGCCTTACCGTCACACTCACCGAAGTGGGATTAAACCTGTGTCCCTAAGAGTCCTGGTGCCGGTGTGCTTTTCTTCCCAGCTGATGATTCCACTGTGGTAGGAAGACTGTGTATCTTAGCAAAGAAAAGTCTATGAAGAAAATGGGCTCAGCCAAGGTACACAATGATCAAGCCAACATATAGGCAGACAGCATCCGAAAGGAGAGAAGTGCTGGGACCAGCAGTTAGCGTAATGGCTATGTCGCTGGACTCCCACGTAGTCGACCGCGGTTCGAGTTCCAGACCTGGTGGCTAAAACTCACGCCGGGCGCGTGTGCGTGCGTGCCCAAGATCCCGAGAGGAGAATGGAGGAGAAGGGATTGCAGCGTGGCCATCCCCTCTGGGGGGTGATTTCTCACTTTCCGTCTCTCTGTCTCTTTCTGTTTGTCTGGTGAGCACATGCATCCTATAGCAAAAACCTCTCCAAAAAAAAGAGAAGTGCGACGAGGATCCATTACAGTTACCCGGCCTCGGCAGTCAGAACGCACATTCTGGCAAGAGATGCTTCTTATGTAGAGGTTCCTTTAACACAGGCTATTAACCGCGCGGACCACCTTAGGCCTTTGTTCTCCTTTGTAAGAAACTTTTCATCAGAGAGGGAACAGCATTTCCTACCCTTCGAGGGTGATCAATACTCACACCAGTGCCAAAAGGCCATCTGCCAGTGCCAGCGTGTCTGCCAGTCTCTCCAGGGCGCACAGGAAGCTGGCACTCCTGAGCAGAGCGCGAGTCTGTGCCACCTTCCTAATGGCCAGTGTTATTAAATAGCAGTAGCGTGTCTCTGGACTCCCCAGTCTCTAGTCACAGGACTCCAAGGACAGCATGAGTCCTAGGCACCCATCCAATGTCTCATCTCCCCTATCCTTCCAAAAACAACCTGGAAATCTGTCTCCCAAATTCTCGGTATATGAGGAGTTCTTTGTGTCTGGCTCACTCTTACTTTGAGGTCTAGTGAAAAACAAATGCCCTGTGAGTGCAGTCTGGGAAAGTCGGACCACAGTTAGGTAGGGAGCACCCTCAGGGGGTTCCCTGCCCTGTAGAGAACGTCTGTATCCATAGAAGCCCCGATAGTCTTCCCCCTCTAGAGCCGACTCCCCACCCTGGGCATCAGTCAGTCACTGCTACGACAGCCCTGGTGCCTGGTGTTTCATAGAAGGTGGGTTTTAAGCATGCCTTTTTCTGATGGAAATGTAAAATCCTTCAATAAAGCCAGCAAGAAAAGAGCCGACCCAGAGTACATCACTGTAAGACAACTTTCTCTTGTGCTAGCCACTAAGGGGTGAGCAGAAGGTTAGGCTTTTGCTTCTGAATGAAGCAAAAAAAAGAAGGCTTAGAAAACTTCTTGGCTCCTCTTTATTGCACCTAGTTTCTTGTTGTTGTTTGAGAGGTTTTTGCTATAGGGTGCATGCGCTCGCCAGAGACAGACAGAAAGCGAGAAATCACCTCCAGGGCGGATGGCCATGCCACAATCCCTTCTCCTCCATTCTCCTCTTGGGATCTTGGGCACCCACACACACGCGCCTGGCATGAGTTTAAGCTACCAGATCCGGGATTTGAACCATGGTTGACTACGTGGGAGTCCAGCGACATAGCCATTATGCCAACTGCTGGTCCCGCATTGTTGTTTTTTAAAGAAGGAGGTGAGAACTATTCCA